GAAAGGTGCAGCCGCTCTTTGGGTGGGCTGGGACAAACCGGGCCTGGACTGCCACCTCCCAGGCTGGGAGGACAGCTGCCGGGGAAGGAGGTAACCCTGGCTCTGACCAGGACCCATTGGTCAGGCTGGGGTGAGGGGCCGGGAAGCTGATCCCACACCTCTCTGGTTTCCAGCCCTGTCTAGCCTGTCTTGGAAAACCAAATGCACCTGTTTGGTGCCCTCTCCCTGGGGTGGACTTAAAAGAGGCACTGAATAACAGTCTTATTCCCAAAGTTCTGGAATGTCAGTTGTGGGCCTCCCTTTGGGGCATCTCCATGCCAGCTCTTGGACTTCACACTGCACAAAAGAGTCTTTGTAAACACAGCTTTGGCGGGCTGCAAAGCCAGTGGGGCCTCGGAGGCCGCTGGGGCCTGTGCAGCGGGCTGTCTCTGCAGATCCTGGGGCTGCGAGCTGCCCTGCTCAGAGCTGAGCCAAGGGGGGCCAGGCGCTGCCTTTCTGAGCTTTCAGATTTCCCACCATCTGCTTACTCGGACCCCCTGTTTAAATTCTCCACTTGTCTCTCCTTCCACAAAATAATTAACACCCCTTTGTTCCTAGAGCTTTGCTTGGGGACGTTAGTCATCTTAGGAGCCCTCATCAAGGCCCACAGAAGTTTCCATTTGATGCATAGTTGAAAACGGCTTAAGTGGGACTCTGCAGGGTTTGGGGGGGTCACTTTTGCTGCTCACCAGCGTCTGGTGTCTCTTTTGTTCCCTCCCACCCATTTCTTTGTTTCCTTCTGAGTGATGGTGACAGGGGAGAGGAGGAGGGCACTGTGGGGACAGAGGATCTGTCCTCCGGGGACACCTCGGGGAAGGACACTCACAAGGGGGAGGCAGAAGGAGAATCTTTGCACTGAACTGCCTCAGCCCTTCCTGTGGGGCCAGAGCTTTGACAAAGGAACAACTCACATGCTGAGTTGCAAAGGAGTTCCCGTAAACCCTGTCCCAGCTCGGGCATGAAATCCGCTGCAGAACTGTTCTTGGATACATTTGCTCTACAAAACTAACATGTAAATAGAAAACCAAGTGCAGAGCTCCCAAATCAAGTTTATTTTTTATACAAGTCTTCTACAGCATCGCCTTCTGCTTAGGAGATGTAACCAAGAGAGGGAGTTAAATTTCTAAAATCAATGTGATATCTGCAATTTTCCTCATTGTGTGGACAATTTTTACTTTAATTAAGCTGATACCATACTATTCAAAAAAAAAAAAACTAACATGTACTTTTGGAGTGCGGCCTGCTCCCGCCAGAGTGGCCCAAAGCCCAGCGGCTTTTCTTGAGAGCAGGCGTTTTCACTTTCTGAGAATGTTAGTTTATACACTCCTGGGCCAGTGTCCTGGCTCTCCTGTGGGCAATGAGTGCCGGGCAAGTGATTCCTGAGATCATGCCTCATACTCTCTGGGTGGCAAACCCTCTCCTATATGCAGTCTTCTCTGATACCTCAAACAACCTGTCAGGTGGACTTTAAGGTCCGATCTGATACAGGGAAATGGAAGGACCTCCTTGTTGATTCTGGGACTCTCTTTGCCCACCTGTCAAATTGTCAGGTTGGACAAGATGTTCTCTGAGAGGCTGTCCAAATTCAGTCTTCTGCATGGTGTGCATTGGGTCCACAGTTCAGACCTGTCCCTGGACAGCACTGGTGGGTACCGGGTCGCAGCAACCTACATGGTGTGGGGGGACACTTTGGTCCACGGTGTAAGACAGCTCTGGCTTCAAGCCCTGGCTCAACCCTTGTTAGCTGTCTGGTCTTGGGCAAGTCACTTTGCCTGGATGGATCTCAGTTTCCTTCTCACCCACAGAGTGGGGCCATAATCCCTCTTCTGCCTGTCTCATGCTAGTGTGAGCTTCAAATAAGATAACTGATATGAAAATGCCTTGTGGACCAGATGGATGTTCAGGTAGTGTTTGATTCTTTTGTGAAAATGATATGTGCAAATTGTATAAAATTCAAACATGGTAATAGGATGATGGAAGATAAGCTTCATTCTCCTTCTGACCTTAGTCTCCTGGTTCTGTTCCCTAGACACAGCCCATTATTAAGTTCTTGTGTGCTTTTCCTTAGAGAACTGTCAAATATGTATATATGAAATGTGGCATATCAAGTACATAGACATATATATCTCACACATAGATGAGTTTTAGAATTTTCGGGAATGTTTTATTTCAGCAAATAATACCCCCCGACTCCTCCCAGGAGCATATGTCCTGGCCCCACTGATGCTGGGCTTGGCCATGACTTACTCAGCCTCCCTCATGGGATATTAGTACATGTGACATGAGCAAAGATTAAAATGTGCTTACTTGGTGGAGCTCGCTTCTTAAGCTTTTGCTATGGTCATGAGAGGGGCATGCCCCAAGTAGATAGCTGGTCCTAGAAGAATAAAAGACATGTGGATTGGAGCTGCTCTGGCCTCTCTGTAGTCTCCCAGTCTAAAGAAGTATAACTGCCCCAGATGACTGCACGTCCTTGAGCCTGGTAATAAATGCTATTGTTACAGGTCACTGAGTGTTGGGGTTGTTTGTTATGCAGCAATAGCTGACTGATACAATGTGTATGTCCACCTTGAAAAAAACTCAAATGCACGCATACTATACACACTATTATGCACCTTGCTTTTCTCACATAATGTATGTTAGGGAAAATATGTGTTGAAAATTGGTCTGTATTGGTACATGAACATGTCTTCCATTCTTTTAAGTGGCTGTGTGATATTCCCTTGTGGTACATGATCCTTACTGATGGACATTTATGTTGCTGCTATTTTTCCTATTACCAAAAGTACTATAGTGACCTGCCCTTATATTTGAAGGACAAACACCTAGAAAGAGAAATTACTGGATCAAAGGGTATGTTCAAAGAAACTGAACCAATTTATGCTCCCACTGCCAGCATATGACAAGTGCTATTTCTCCTGTACCAAGGATAAAACCGTGAGGATGACTCCCCACCACGGCAGCAAGTCTTCTGAGTTTCATTGTACAGCCCCATGATATTGAAATCTCACCATGAGATTCAAAAAAACAGTGTTTTCCCAAAGTGGTATATGATTTTACATGGTAGCAGAGATGGTTTTAAAAGGTGCACAGATAAGCACTAACTAATGTTCAATACCATGGTGAGCAAATGATTCACTTTTCAAATCTTTTTCACTCCTTTGATTACATCAAGGAGAATGTCCCAGTTGGATGTTGATATATTTTAACACTTCTCTGACAGTTGCTAATTTTCCTTTTTAACAAAGAGGGAAGAGGTCTTGAGCTCAGAGCCTTTGGTGGGCAGTAGAGCCTTGCTTTCACTGTATTTATTTTTATCAGCTCACTTTATTTTCTGGCTAATGACCCTGGTTTTTCATTCTTGGTAATGATAGGAAGTTTCCTTGGAAAATAAAAATAAAAATAATCTATTTCATGAAGGAAAGAGCTAGTTTTGAAAATTTATAAAATATATCATATATAGAAGGGTATACATAACTTATGCAGTTTAAGAGTAATAGAACAAAACCCATATTCCAAAAACAGTATCTTGAAGCTACTTGTGAAAAAGAAACTTGTAGATCAGAAGGATGTGTACCTCCACCACCTCCAGTGCCGGAATCACCTGGGAAATGCTGTTGCTTGTGCTTCATGAGAGTCAACTGCGCCAACCTCAGAATTTAAAAAAATGACTGAAGAGAACATTTCTAACACCCTTTCTTGTACCATGTCCCATATGGAGCACTTTAGAAATAGCATCTCACTTAACTCTTACAGCAACTGTGAGGTGGTAGGAGAAAAGAACGTTTGTGGTCTGATTCTTTTACTTTTTTTTGGCAATAATTTTGGACTTAGAGAAGAGTTGTAAGACACATTCCTGAAGTCCCTTCACCCAGCTTCCCTTAACGCTGGCATTGTACATTAACTAAAGTACAAATTATTGAAACCAGGACATTAACATTGATTTGAGGCTATTGATTAATCTACGGTTCTTATTCCAATTTTGTCAGTTTTCCTACTAACATCCTTTTCCTGGTACAGGATCTCACACTGCATTTAGTAGTCCTACCTATTTAACCTCCCGCAGTCTGTGACAATTCCTTAGTGTTCCATGATCTTGACATTTTTGAAACGTTCTGGTCAGTGATTTTGTAGACTGGGTTTGCCCGGTGTTTTCTCATGAATACCACTGAAGTGATGTTTTGCCTTACTTACTGCATCATATCAGCAGGTACCTGATGGCAGTATGTCTTGGGGACGTATGTATGGCCGAGGTTTGGGAAACCTTCCATAGGCATAGGTAGCTGCTGGCTGTTCCCTGGTAGTGTTTGTGGCATGGATTCACGTCTGCACATGGGATCCCCCATCCGGGTCTCCTGTGGGAGGGCTGACTATCCTCTGCTTGAGTCATAACTCATGGCCCAGCTCTGTAGCGGCTATGAGGGAAACTTCTACATCCCTGTCCCCTGCTCCCTGAGTTGGTCCTGAATGGTGACAGGGCAGTGGTGAGGGCTAGGACTCTGCTTAGCTCTTATTCCCGTGCTCTCTGAGCCATGCTCATGCTAACTTGGATGAATGGCACAAGACAGCTCTTTGGATTTGATCTTCCCCTGGATGTAGCTTTTTAGACTAGAAAATAAAGATGTCTTGGGCAGGTGGGAGTCATGACACCCTCTACAAAGGCATCTCTGCAGTTTTTTCTTTCAACTCCAAAAGAGATTTTTCCCAACTGATTTTGCTCACTATCTGTTGCCAAACTATTGCTTTATTTGACTTTCTTTCCCTTCATGTTCAGGAAAATGTACTGTGAAATCACAACCTCTCTTCCCTCTGTGATCTGAAGAAACACTCTCTTTTGGCTTCGTTCCTACCTGGGCTCTGCCTGGAGAGTCAGGAAAGATGCCAGGGGCCTGGATCTGTTGCTGGCTCCTGGGCAGCCTGCATTGGCTCAGGTCTCAGATAATATTGTCCTGAGGAGAAAAGCCAATTATCTGAAGCTAGGACTAATTCACTACCACAGAGGGCTGAACCTCAGAAGCAAACACCTGACTCTCCCTAGGGTCTGTGTGCTGAGATGATGGCTCCACAATGATGCCTTGGACAATTTCAAGGACTTTTGATTTGGACCCCACCACTCACCTTACACTGAATCTGGCTCCCAGTGTCAGCTTTGCCTGATTTCTGGCTCATACACCAGTTAGTTTCATATGTTGTCAAAGCTGACAGATGAAGATGAGAGGTAAGTTAGTTATGATTTTTTTTTGTCACTATTAGTCATTCCCTTATTTTTCTCTCTTGGGTGCAAAGTGTTGGTTTAGGCACCAGAAACACTTTGTTTGAGGAGTTTGTGGAGTTTCTATCAAGTACAGAATTCAGGGAAGTAAACAAGTGGGTGTAATAGAATAAGATAGAATGCTCTAATAAAGGGATTCATTCATTTAACAGCTATTTATTGGGCACTTATGGTGTGCGAGGCATTGTGGTTGCTGCCAAGAAGACAGGACTAAATGGATTATAGACGTGATGCTGCTCTCTTGGAACCTGGAGTCCCAGACAACAGTGATTAAGAGGGGTGAGGTTTAGGGTAAGGTGCTGTGGGGGTGAGCAATGAATTTCATGTGGGGACTTGATTTCCAGGTGGGGATTATGTGGCGAGAAGAGCCAGAGATGGATGGGTAGGTGTGCTTCAGGTGGGGGCAAAGGACAGGTTGCTCAGAGATGAGAATGGCATGATGTATTTGAGGAAATGTTGGAAGGTCAAACTGGAGCCCAGGGTTCAAGGAGAAGAGCAGAGGTAGGTGAGACTGGGGAGGGAGGCAAGGAGGGTCTTGTCAACTCAGGGGTTTTTGACTCTCTTTCTAAGAGTAGTGGGGAGCTATTGCAGGGTTTTATATGAGAAGGATGGGTTCAGATGTTCATTCTAGAACAGTCAGCCTGGCCATATTGTACAGGATGGAAAAGAGAAGACAGTAACGGGGGCAGGGAGAGCAATGGGACAGATAATGCAGATGTCCTGGGAAGAGATGAAGTGGCTTGGAGAGAAGGGAATGGATTTAGAACAGGTCTTCAGTGCCACTTCCAACCCCAGGAACAACAGCATGGGAAATACACTGAGTCTGAGTTCTGATAGGCCCTATCCTTTTTTTTTTTTAATAACATTTCTCTGTGAGGTCAGAATTTATTCTTTATGACAAAACCAATATTACTGTTTATCACACACTGAGTCATGACCAGAGGAGCGGGGGCAGAAGTGATGTAATTTTCCAAGATTGAGTTAAAAACATCCCACACAACCTTCTAGTTGTTCAGGAGGGTGGTTTCATAAGATAGAAGGGGGCTGGATCCCTGAGTCCCCACTCGGAGGGGAGGAACCCCTAAGGACAAGTTCCTACGTTGCTTTGGCTATGACAGGAACAAGAAACCAACCTGTGCTTTGTAATGTCACTGATATTTTGAGGTTAATTATAGAAGTTGACATTATTTGCCTGGCTTACTATAAACCAGCTGGGCTCATATTTTTCCTGCTTCTTCCATGACACTTCAATAGTTTCCAACTTTCTTCATCCAGTGAAGAGTGAAGGGTCATGTTTCAGACGTAGATGGAAAAGGAGCTCTTGGGTGTCCATGAGGTGGGGATGGGAGTAAAGACAGACATGCAGATCCAGAAATGTATATACACACAGATACAAGGGACACTATCAACCAAGACACCTACCCAGGCTCAGGGTATCACATAATAGTAATGATCAAGATAATAGTGAAACTGAAGTTCCCTTAGTGTCAAGGACTGTGCTCTACTATGTTATTAGACCCCACAACCCTGCCACGTAGAAACTATTATGATCTCTTTTTTTCCCACAGGTGAGAACACTGAGGCCTAGAGAGGGTGAGCACTTTTCCTGAGGCCACACAGGATTTGCACTTAGGCATTCTGACTCAGGAGTCCTCTTAGTTACAATACAAAGACAAGGACACAGCTGCAGAGGGCTGGGGCTGGGGACACACACACACAGGACAGAGACAAAGAGAGTCTCAATTGTCCTTGTCCCCACTGTGAATACCATTCTATTTTCAGGAGAGAGATGGCCCGATTGCAGAGGTGACAAGAACAGAGCATTACTTTGAACAAAGACTTACTTTAATGAAATTCTCAGCCAGCTCAAGACATTTTGTTTCTCTCTAGATAACTTCCCGATGCTATCATTTTTGCATACCCTGTTTATTTCACCTGCTCCGTCTTTCCATGGCCCATAAAGGAGGCTCTGTTGGTTTGCTTGATGCTCCTTAGATACAAATGATCCCTCCCTGAATAACAAATAGGTGGTACCCTTCAGAGGAATTTATGATTCCCCTCTTGTTCTTCTAGTTTCTAAATGGGATACTTCTCCAGAAGGTGCTTCATCCCAGTTGATGCCTGAAACTTCTTAGTAAATGGGCTTTCCACTGAACGTGTAGGCTGAGTTTTTCAGATCCTGGGCTTGAGGTGTCACTCAGCCTCACTTCTGAGCTCTGGGGTCCTCAGAGTGGAGAGGTCATTAGCCATGAGCAGCCTTACCTTGGTATATTTGTGGGTTTAAGGAGCAGTTCCTGAGGAAGTGGTCGAGCTGAGAATACACAGGTTGGACATGACCCTAAAGGTCATCTCTTTCATACACTCACAATTGACACTGCTGCAAAACAAGTGGTGTCACTAATGTTGCAAAAACAAGTGGTGTAATGCAACCATTTTATTATGCTTCCAGATCCTGTGGGTCAGAGACTTGGACAGGACCCAGCAGGCATAGTGTGCCTCTGCTCCATGATGTCTGTACCCTCTGCCACGCAGACTTGAAAGCTGGTGGGTGGGTGGGTGGGGTTGCCACTCAATTGCTTTGTGTTGGAATCATATGAAGATGTCTTCCTTCTTATGTGAGGTTGACACTGACCGGCATCTGAGCTACACAGCTCAGATAGTGCCAGAGCACCTATACTTGGCTTTCCCATGTGACTTCTGCCTATAGTCTGGTTTGGGGTTGCACCAGCATGGTAATGGGGTTCCAAGAGTAGGCATCCCAAGAGAAGTAATACAGAGGCATGGCACTTTGGTGATCTAGGCTTGGAGGTTACATAATGTTACTTCTGTCATGCTCCATTGGCTGAGGCAGCCACAGATAAATGTCTGCCCAGGTCCAAGGGGAAACAGCATCGACGCCATCACTCAATGGGGAAGTGGCAAGGTTCTGGGAGATGATGTGGGACAGCAGACATCATTGCAGTCATCTTTGGAAAACACAACCTGTCACACCATTTCACATGTGAATTCCCTCCTCATAGCCTACCACATGTTCATGCAGCCCCCGCTCCTCTGATGGGGAGATTACTACCTCCACCAGTTAGGATTCTTTGATTGCAAGCAACAGAAGCCAATTCTGGATAACTTAAGCTATAGAGATTTACTGGCACAAGATTGGGAATATTGAAGGCTTGGCATAAAACTGGACTAGTTCAGTGCCAGAGGCAGGAGATCAGGGATGTTTTGTCTGGGCACTGCCCAGAGGACAAATGAATCTCAACTGATGTTTGAATCTTTTAGTCACTGTTTAGAATTCAAATGATGAGGAGGAAAGATCTGAATGGGTTGCTTGCACCATGAACTTAACCACTTACTACTTGCTTAACTCTCAGCAGGTTTATTAAGCAATTCGTGACTCAGTTTCCTCATCTGTAAAATGAGCACACTAACAGTAGCTACCTTCTAGGTTATGTGAAATTAAATAAGATGATGTTTACAAAGTGCTCAGCCCAAGGTCCAATATTTGGTAAATCTTCAATAAATGTTAGGTAGCAACAAATCTACTTTTACTACTGCTATAACTACTACCGTTTTGGTTGGCTTGCTCCTGTGTCTAGTACAGGGTTGAGTGCAGAGTCGATGCTCAATGAATAGTATTGACTGACTGAATGAATGAGCAAATAAATGAATGACTTCTGCTCTAATACATGACAATCAAGTTCTTTGAAGCCATCTTTAGACACTTCTTATGACTAGATCAAAACAAGAAAAATCAACCTGCAAGAATCTCAGTGCATTTAAACATCAGAGCCACCCTCCTTAGTAACTGTTTTCTGTCTCTTCAGTTCTCATTCTGAAAAATAATGTCTGGTGTTGCTCCTTGCCTGAGTCCTTCACAAATGCCACAAACAGTAAACAAAGACCTCTACTCTGAGGAGGTGAATAATATGCCGACGGGATTGCATTCTGCATCAATTCTTGCATCATATTTGATTAATTTTATATCTAGCTTCATTACATCTCATCCCTCATTTCAAAGGTGTCCTTTGGATGCAACACTGGAGGAGACAGATAGGGGAGACTGAGAAGGGGAAACAAACTGATGTAAGGAATTTATGAGCACCCCAAAATAAGTAGCCACCAAGATTTAACACTCCCAAGACCTCATGGCTGCTCATGGAATGAGCTCATTGTGGGAGCAGCAGCATTTCCTGGGCTTGAGTCATGGTGCTCCAGCCAGTGAGAGAGCCACTTTATACAATATACATAAGCAGAGTGGCCAGTGGATGCTGATCCACTTATCTGTGATACCCAAGCAGGTGACAGAATCTGGAGCTACTGGAGCTGACAGAATCTGGCCCCCAGGCACACATCTCCAGGCAAGCCGTCCGGGGCTCTTTGATCCCTATGTGGGTTACAGAGCAGCTCAAGGTGACATATTCAGCTCTTTGGTCAAGAAGTTGCTTAAATGGGTCAGGGCAAGATTTATCTCTGTTTGGTACACCTGAATTTTGGGCCCTTCATCGTCAGGGCTATTGACGTCCTCCCCATACTTCCTGCTCTTACCCACATCTCAACTCATCTTGGGACTCTGAGAAATCATCTAGCATTTGGTTAGTTCAGTTCAATAATTATTTACTGAGACATGTAGCAGACACCTCAGGCGTCTGTCCCATTGGTCCAATGCTAATTTCAGCTGCAGCTCTGTAGGTGTGTGACCACAGCTGTGACTATGGATGGGCGCTGAGACTGGATGTTTGCCCCAGACTGTGCCCTGATCCTCATCACGGGCTGAGCCCTCGTGCTGGTCATGGGCTGAGCCCCCATCCCGAGCTCTCATCCTAGTCAGGTACTGAGCTCTGATCCTTGTCACTAGCTGAGCCTCATCCTGGTCACAGGCTGAGACCCAAGTGACAACACAGACTGAGCTCTGGTCACAAGAGAACACACTTGAGAGAAGTTTGGGGATGGCTCAGCTCAGGCCACCCCACTTCTATAGTCATAGTGGGAGCCATGCCCTCTCAGTGGGATATGAGGAGGGGAAGAATCAGGTGAAGACATCCTGCTCATGACCAGAGACAGTGACAGTTATGGCAGCTCGCATTCCAGGTTTCAAACTCAGAAAAAGCCACTGCAGTTTCAGGCAGAGCCTAATGAGGTGCTCAGAGCTGTGTCTTGTTTCCTTTAGCTTATAAAGGTTATTGTGTTTTGCAGGAAAATTAACTGGCAATTAAATTTCTGAAAAAGTGTTTGAAACTCCTACAAGCTGTGCCTCATTGTTTTGCAAGGTTAGGTACACA